TAGCCATTCTATAGAAACTTATGCACGCAAGTATAGGCACACAAAATCAACAAACAAAAACAATGAAGATGAATTCAACTTGTGTGGGAAGCTATGCAACTAAGCATAAAAATCAACCAACATCTTCAAAATCCCAGTTTCACCATACATTAAAACCTATGCATGCATAAAAAAACCTAGATGACAAATGCTGCCCTGGCCGCCAGGTCCTGTCCTGAAGTCACCCAGACCTCCAGGTAGCGAGCCAATGCAACGCAGTCGCCGTTGGCGCGACCACAGCGACGTAGTAGCAATCCTCGTGGCCGCCATGACGCCATCGTCCGTCGTTCGAGCATGTAACCGGCCGCGAACGCGAGCCGTCCCCGGACCTGTGAGCCCATCGCCGCCTCCGGACCCGATGACCTCGCTGCTCGTCGCGTGGAGAGGGGAGCCAGGGCACCGTGCGGGGATGACCTAGCTGCCGTTGTAGCTGGGAGGCTCAGGGCCGGCACTGGGAGGGAGTAGGGTCACCCCCAATGTAGCTAGTGGTGGTTCAGGTGGCCGCTGCGGGCCTGTGGCACCACCGAGGTGAGGAGCCACAACCGGCCGAAGCTGTGTACGTGGGCCTATCCGCGTCACCTCCAAGGGCCACAGTGTATGCCACCGGGAGGGAGGAGGTCGCTTACCGTCGGGAGGGAGCAGTGCCAGGCCGGCGTCGTCGCAGCTGGGAGGCTCGCCGCGCGCGCCGCTTTGGGGGAGGAAGGCTGCGTGCCGCTGGTGAGGGGGAAGTCGCGCGTCGGGGAAAAGGTAGGGCCGCGCCACCAGTATGGAACAAGCGCGGAGTTCCACGGTGTCCCGTTCGCCATAGTCGTCCCCGCCTGCGGCCATGAGTTCCAGGGCACCGTCTCTATCGCTGTCGCAATCCCCGCGCGCACCCACTGTAGGTGCTCCAGGGCGCGGTGGTGCTCGCTCTAGGGAGGTGGCCGAGGCGCTCTAGCTCGCCGTTGTCCCCGCCATGGCCACAAGCTTGCCGCCATCTCGTTGCACGCCAGGGTGGAGGAGAAGGGAGGCGGGCGCCTCCACGTCGCACATCTAGGGAGCGCATAGCCTACCATCGCTAGGGGGAGGGGAGAGCGGGCGGCGGCCAGGGGCGGGTTGCTGGGTGACGGCCGCACCAGGTGGGGTGCGGCGCATGGTAGGGGTTGGTGGCTAGGGGTGGATGGATGGGGATTAGGGTTTAGGGGTTTATATCTGGCCTATCAAGGTTGGGCGTGCTGGGCCGGTGGGTGGGCCACAGGGTGGGCTAGTGGGCTGGTAGCTGGACCAGGTTGGTGGGAGGCTGGTTTGGTGGAACCAGCTACCTAGACTTTGGGTCAGGGCTTTCAATAATTATTGGGAGCCCTAAGCCCCCAATAACATATATATATATATATATAGAACTACTGTTCAACAGTAACTCATTTCTAAGTGGTTTACTATAACATTATGGTAAATATCACCGTGAGTTATAGTAACACGAGTATCGTAAATTCATATTCATGTTATCGTAAATTGGTACAAACATTATGGTAAATTAAGGTGGCTATAGAATAAGTTATTTTATGGCCAGCTGCAGAATAGCCTTACCCTCTATATATATATATATATATAAACAAAGACAGAGGTGCACTGCACATAATGAAAACACATATAGAGTAACTTGTAAGTTCATTCAAGTGGATATAGATTGTTGGGTATGTAAATGGGTATTGTGTTTTCAGGAAATGAGTAGACAGAGTAAAGATAATCAATTTTGATCCAATTTATGTACTAAATTTATCCATAAAACTTTTACTACTTATGCAACAAATGATTCTAGGCCGTGCTGGATAATGGGTTGATGGGTTAGTATTAAAAATTGTCTAAAAAAATGCATCCGATTGGACTTTTGATATAGTGTGGTTGCCGGTTGGTTACCTCTTCCATGGTCTTAGACCAGAGCGATTTTCTTTTCAACTTCTTCACAGTATTCCTTTGGTTCTTCACTGAAATACATATTTGTTCTGCATATAATGTAAAATTAGTCATCCTTAAAGTAATGTCTTCTCAAGAAAGTAGAATAATATAATGCACAATTGCATGATGAGATTTGACAGTTAGTGGATATATAAGCTCTAATATGATTAAGCTGAAGTTAATTTTTTTATTATTCAACAATAATTGCTCACTATGTCAACTCACAGTAGTGACAAAACAAAAGCGATGGGCTCTTGAGGCGCATCACCAATTAGTGACGGACGGCAACAAGGCACATCTATTATGTGACCCTTGAGTTGGGCCTGGAGAAAGGCCAACAAATTTTGGCAAGTAATAACAGCTGTCACTATTTATAATAGTGAAGGTTGTCAACAAGACCGGTCCCTGGAGAAAGTCCAACAAATTTTGGCAAGTAATAACAGCTGTCACTATTTATAATAGTGAAGGTTGTCAACAAGACCGGTCACTTTATGCCCATTTAAATGTGATAATGCCCATTTAAATGTGATAGGTCTTCGTGCGCACTACAAAAGTGATGTGCATTATATTGTTTTTTGAATATCACTTTTATTTGAAGAAAAAATCATTTGTTTCCATTGTTTGGCCCTCACTTTTAACTCTTGTTAATAGATAAGAGAACCTTATCAGCTCTCGCCTCTTCCATTTTGAAATGGTTTAAATCCTAGTCAACTCAAGTCAACATACCCTAATCATGCCCATGGGTCCCCTTTCACCATCGTGCTAGATCTACTCAACCTTTGACCTCCTCCATGACTAATGTTGATGAAGCCGATTTGCACGTTTCAAGTTGGATCGACGATTCGACGTGGTGCTATCACTAGTCAATGCGATTGACTTTGGTTCTTCCTCTATAAATAAGGATGCTGAGGTTGTACCTAGTATAAGTGTTCCATCTTCTGGTGTTACTTTGGATTAGTTAAAACTTGATTGATGAGCACATACAATATGGCTTAATTGGATCAGTAGTAAAGATAGAGAGTCATCATCTAAGAAACTTGCTACAAGTTTATCGATAGCAAAACCTATGAATCCGATCCACCGTATGTAATGCTGATAAATTACTTTAGTAGCCAAATGGTTTTCCCACATAATGTAGCCCCACTGTTGAGTTGGTTGTCGAGCCAACATAATCTAAACCCATTTGAGCATACCTATGGCTCTAACTTGAGGAATTAATAAGCTCGACAATTTGTGCCTCAATATAGTTCTATATCATATGATCCACCCCCAATACCACCAGAAGGTACATGCATGTTTTCCAATGAGGCCAATACCTGAAAGGTTGTGGGAGTAGTACCGACAACTTTGGACAAACAAGTCCAAATCAGTGTACCTAGTTTATAAAATTGGAGCACTAGTTTTCCTAGGATCATATCAGTGCTACTCAACAAATGGCCCCTGCTGCAACATAGGATAATACTTCATGTTCATGGGACCGAGAGCTTGCTAAGGGCCTATTTGGGACTAATCCACCAACTCCACCATAGAGTAGCTTCACAAAAAATCTAGAGTTTCTGGAGTACCCCTTTAGGTGCTTCACGAGCTCCACCTTTTTTTCTAGAGAATAGCTGGTGGAGTTGTTTCTGTTTGGCTAGTGAAGTTGAGAGAGGAGCTAAAAAAGGTGAAGCGGAGCAGTCCCAAACAGTCCCTAAGCATAAAAAGAGTTGAACCACTTTGCTATTAAGGTGAATCTAGACTCTTTTTGGCTGGCTAAACAAAATGATTTGTCCTTGCTGATTATTATAATTTGATGATGGACAATATTGATGAAGTTACCGAAGCACTAGTTGAAGGCTTTAAAGGAAACTAAGAAAGATAAAGCGAAGTTGCAGAGTATAAAATAATGAAGTCAAGCTCAAGACAATTTTACCTCTTAGAACAAAATATAATAAGTTTCCTAGTTTGGTATCCAAGTTAGGAAGGTTTGTACAAGGTGGTAAAGATTCATATATGATGGAGACATTATAATATAAGCATTTTCCTAGAGCTCTCAATGGACAATAAGTGTTTCAAAAGGTATTATCCTAGTGTATGTCATAACGCACCGATCCTTATGGATGATAATGTGAATATCGCTATTAGAACAAAGTTGGACCAATAAAGCATGCCGATCATCATCCTTAGATGCTATTGATCTAGCTAGATATTTTTTTGGTAAGCAAGCTTTACCAGAAATTGGGGCGATGTGTTATATGTCAAAAGTGGCATACTTGTGCAAATCCGGTGGACCGGATTCAGAAACTAGATGGTCTAGTGTCTGCTGAATCTTCGCAAAAGCTGTATTAGGCATGATTTCACTTGCATTAGACTTTTCGTTAGAGCAAGGTCTCCCCACCCTATAAATACGAAGGGCATGGACAATTAAGGGGATCCAAAACTGATTAAAAAACTCGAATACAATTACTATTTTTTGCTTCTCCAAACCATAATACCCTTTTCCAACCCTAATTTTGTCCCCGGGCTCTTCGTCTGTACAGCGAAGAGTTCTTGCTGACCCTATAGAATAACTCTAGGTTCACCTTCCATGATGGGGTTCCTCCTGGGCAGGTGTTTGTAGGTTTTCACAATTTTCTAGGGAAAACCAGAGGATCCGGTTTCTAAAACCAAGTGATCCGGTTTCTGCAGTGGTGCCGTGGGTTCATTGTTTTGTGATATATGCACTCTAGCACTGTGTGTATGATCATGTTTTGCACACTGCATAAACTTGATCAACTTCATCAACTAGCTTCAGATCAAGATGTTCAAAGATTGGCACTGGTCACTCTCTGGGGTATATCGCTATGGCTTCTTTACAGATCATTCCTATGATTCCAATACTGATTGTGGTTTGTAATGTGGATGTTAGCGAACAAATAGCATGTTCCGTACGAGTAGTACTGGTCAAATGTTTTTGTTCACTTGTGTCAATATGGGAATGGGCAGACCCGGCCCTATGGCCTCAAGGCCAATTTTAGGGGCCATGGGTCGACCCATTTCTCTAGATGCTATGGCCTCGATGGCCCATTGGGTAGTATGGGTTGACCCAAATATTTTTCTACAATCGTAAACCAAGATTATACTATCAACACTTTTAGAAAAGATAAGATACAAGATTAAAAAATATCATAATAATATATTAAGATTATTAGCAATGCATCAAATTAAATAAGTTTGCAAGTGAACCATGGTTTTAATTTTATCAATTTTCACTTCCAAAATATTGATACTCCTCACTGTACTTCCAAGCATAGACAATCTTACACAAGTTATGACCAATCGTATTTATTTGAAAAAATGAAGAACACCAATAAATTAAAGAAAAAGATTATTAATATGACAAGTGGGTCAACCCATGGTACCCATTGGGTCAATAGGTTCCGCCTCTATTGACCCATTTTGGAATTTAGGGCCAGCCCCAATGACCCATTGGCCCTATTTTTGTGGATCGGGTCAACTATCCAATGGGTCGACCCGACCCATTCCCATCCATACACTTATGTCATGTTATTTTGTACAATTCTGGATAAAAGTAAACCAAAAAATGCCCCTATTTCCAACACTCTCTTTCCATCTCTGATGTACTATTGCGCCACCAGCTACTAGAGAGCCAACCTCCACCTCTGGCCTTGAATATTACTAAGAAGTTTTACTCTAATGAGAAAGCGTGGCAGCAAGCAGTATTCGGTGGCACTTGCCAGTTCAGCCGTGAGAGAGTATATTAGAGCTCCATACGCTTTAGTTTGTTGTTATATATATGACAATATATATAGTAGAAACTTGGGTATGAAGCACATACCGCCCATAATTGGATCTTCCAGTTCCATGTAAAGTTTGTCCAGTGCAAACATTTCTTGATACAGTTCCTGCATAAAGGAATAATTAACATACAAAAGATCCCTACTCTTTAGTGTTCAGAGAAATTTTGCTCATTTCGTTCTTGCCACTACATTACGTCATCAGGGGTATGATAAATAAGAGATATTTCAAAGATGACGATGTCTTTTTCATTCTTCCAGTCAGAGTGCCACAAAAGGCAGCAAAAATGACAAACAACAAAATGAGCAACATTTCAGTGGCACATGCAAAGAGTGGGGGACGACTTAGTAGCAAAAGAATTGTTTTATTATACACCATGACAACATTGGTAAGGCTATGCAAAGAAGCAATTAAACAACTGACCGAAGTGCGCTGCGCAAGCTTTATCAGATAGTGAATGTCGGAGATGATGATGTCTTTTACATTCTTCCAGTCAGAGTGCCACAAAAGGCAGCAAAAATGACAAACAACAAAATGAGCAACATTTCAGTGGCACATGCAAAGAGTGGGGGACGACTTAGTAGCAAAAGAATTGTTTTATTATACACCATGACAACATTGGTGCGGCTATGCAAAGAAGCAATTAAACAACTGACCGAAGTGGGCTGCGCAGGCTTTATCAGATAGTGAATGTGGCGAAACACTCTTTCTTTCAAGTTTTCCCCAGGAATCAGTTGAGACTCTAAGCTATTCGTTAACAATAATAGAATGCATAAGAATACAGAATACACAGTATAAGGTGTTCTGAAGCCATGGACTCAGTATAAATTTATCAGGTGATAGCATCAGTATGTTTTACCTTTCGAAGTACCTATCCAAATTATGCCATTGAGGATCTTGGCACCGATTTCCAAAGCGAGCAACCTCTGTAGAAAATTTACTCAAATATTCTCTGTATAATTCAAACGTAGTGCATGTAAGTAAATGTGAAAGTACTGGTAATTACAGACTCAGCAGATGCCATCTACCTTATGTCAGTTTCAACAAGACCCAACAACTGACTGTAATCTTCTGAAATCAAACTGCGGATGCCTTCATAACTAAACACCACCTCTTTCAGATGCTTCATGCTTTCTTTGGAGAGAGTTTTCATCAGATCTGAGCCCTTGAGAATTGTTTTGGCAACCTCAAAGGACAGAATTCCTATCTGACTTTTGTTAGCAGAGGTGAACACACGGCAGATATATGCGGTTAATGAGGTTGATGTTGCTCTTTTCAAGACCCTGCTCAAATCAATGCCAGAATTCCTGAAGTTTGCAGTGCTGCTTCTGGGAAGTGTGCTGATTTGTGATTCCTGTAGGTTGAGAGGAGCCAAATATCCATGTAAATATGTAATAAGAACTGTATAAAATGGCACAGCTGTATTTTATATCAACTGGATCTCGACTATATGAACCCTTAAGCATGACTTAACCGATATGTTTTGCTTACTGCTACACAGCTCATAACAAAAACGCTAGAAAATATTGTGTGTTGCTCTGTGCCATAGAGCGTGGATTTGTTACAGACTTTTACATGTTATTACAAAAACCGAATAGAAGTTATTGCGGTGATCTTGGCAACGATGCACTTTATTGTCTAACCCATGTAAGGTAGTGAAAACAAACTGAGTAGTAGGTTGAAGTACACATCATCACAAAGACGAATTTTGCAGAATTATATCCACTACGTACATTAAGTGGATCAACACAGTTGTAAATACGAGAAGAAAGGTCACTCAAAATTATGTTGCTATTGTTTCATCATATAAGTGTGCCGTAGGCTAATAAAAGTTAGCAATGCTACTAGTTAAGAAGTTAACTAACTATGGTAATTTCGTAGTTCCTCTGGTTGCAAATATAAGTCAATCTATGTTTGTCCCTCAAAATGTTTCAACTTTCACTAACAATACCAATAAAAATATATTGTCTTAACGAAAAGAGTTGTATTTTATAAGTATTTTCCGTATGGAATCTAGTACTGTCACACATGTGTGTCATTAACTTATATCAAAGTCAATATAACTGATCAAAAAAATTGAGTTAGGACAAACCCCAATAGACTTATATTTGAGATCAAAGGAAGTGCCATCATTTTATTTTGAAATTAAATGGGATTCAACCAAAGACGGTTACGAATTTACATGGGAAAAGAGAGAATGTGAGATGATTGATTGCAAGGTATCTAATTAAGAAACATGGGGTCATGAAGTAATAGTTATGGTAATTTCAAATTTTACTTTTCTAATAAGGTGTGGAAGAAGAAAATTATATTGTGTTTCCCATGTTTATTAAATATAAGCTTTATCTATTTAAATTAAATTCCATGGCCATATATACATGCTCATAACCAATAATGCATAACAGTGGCCCTTTCTATGTTGATGACATGAGAAGTTCATGTTAGAGTACACAATTTTAATCTGTTACACACATTAAAAGCAACTTACTCTTAGAAATATGCCAATGACATAATTTCTTTGCTCACGGGTACATACCATACAGGGTATAAAATAGGAAGTGATCAATCTTTTTCAAGTGCCAAACATTATTAGCCTTTTCTAAGTTTGTATGTGTATATGGATATATGAATGAATGTGTACGCGTACGTATATATGTATATAAGATACATGTAACTATTTGTATGTATCTATACATACATGTATAGATGGCCATATGGCCCAAGGCCCATGGGCACGGCCCATGGCCCATCGATTTGGCCCAGTCCAAGCACGGCACAGCCCGATAGACATTGTGCCTGTGCTGGCCCAGCCCAACAAGAGGGTGCATGGGTCACTACCTTGGCACGACGTGCTAGCCCAGCCCGGCCCGATTAGAAACCCCAACTATACAAATCAACATCTCTCTCTATCCCTATCCTACCGAACCCTAGCCACTCAACTTCTCCCGCCGCCAGCCGCCACCCCTCGTGTTCGTCGTGCTATGAGGCCGAGGTCGTGACTTCCTCTCTCTCCCGATTTCTCGACCGCCCCCTCCCGATTTCTCTCAACCACCACATGCTCCCCTACCGAGTTCTCTACCACGCGGGCTTCTCATACCATTCTTCACCACCAAGAAGCGGCGGCGCATCGAGTGGCGGCGCAGGGGCGCGACCCCGCAGTCCACCACTGGGAAGCGGCGGTGCATCAAGTGGCGGGGCGGGCGGTGGCCCCAGCAGCGCACGAGTGGAGGTGCAGCGCCGGTAGCGCGAGCGGCGGTGGCACGAGAGGTTGATGGGCACAGGAGCATGGCGGGCCGCCAGGCCGGGCCGACACAGCTCGAGCCTTAAAGGATCGTGCCCGTGCCTGAGGTGCAGCCGGTGACCAGGTATGGCACGACCTGCTAAGCCAGGCGTGTTGTGCCGACCCGACACATAACGGGCCATGCCTTAGCGGGCCCAGAACCGTGCCGTGCTAGGCGACCCATTGGCCATCTATACATACATGAACATAATGTATATATGTTTGCTAAGTTTATACACCTACATTGTGCATGCATACATTTACATTTGTATACATATATTTTAGAACTTGTGCACTATTTATATTATGTATGTACTATTCATGTGATTTTTGGGTTTGATCTATGTTATCCATTCGCTAACATGTATTCCACGCAATTTGAGATGATGTGGTGCAACCAGAGCTCAAGAAAGCCATACTTTGATGAGATATAGATAATAGATAATATATAGATATTTCCTATTTTTTGGATTTTCAAAATCTATTAGACTGGCTATATTTACCAGCCAATTGTTTTTGTAGTAATGATAGCTCATATAAATGTAGACAAAGAAATTCTGAAGTCAATGTTAAAAAGCATTGAAGCCTGCCATTTGTCTTATGTAGCTAATTATACCTGGTCATCGACCCCATACGAACTTTCAACAAAAAGCATTTGCGCCAATATTTGTCCAGCCGAAGGCCTTTTTTCCTGATCAGTCTCCACACAACTTAGCCCTATTTCAATGCATCTCTGTATCTGCAGGAGGCAGTCATATTCTAGTGACGGATACTTTGACATTAGTGTTGACATTGTGGTCCAATTTTCACGTACCTAAAAGGAAGAGTAACAACAAAAACAGTAAAATAAACAGGTAACACATATTTTTTACCTATATGTGTAGCAAGTCTTCTGCAAAATATAAATGTTTTTCTTACTGTCTCGATGAATTGCTCGCCTGATAAATCTCCTCTGGCTTTGTGGTTTCTTTCCCCTGTAACGACCTCAAGGATTAGAATGCCCAAACTGTATATGTCTGACTTGGTTGAGATTTCCCCTTTGTGGTAGTATTCTGGGGCCATGTAACCTCTGCATTATATAGAATGATAAGAGGACAGCAAAGTACATACCACTAGAAATAACCAAATATCAACATTCTGATGGCTATCGATTAATGCAGAAGCACAAAAATATCAAAACCCATACACAATCAAGAAACAACACATGAGAACGAGGTATGATATTTTTTAATGAGGTTTACTATGCGAAAAATGTACAATAGTTGTGAGAGCAAAGGTGATGGGCTATTGGCACACATCACTAATGACTATCTATTGATGGACGGAAAACAAGGTTTGTTACCTTTATGAACTCTGAACCGAGAGCAAAGGAAATCCTATCATGTTTATGTCTAAAAAGGGATGCATTGTAACAACACACATCACTATAAAAAAGTGACTGACGTAGACCATGGATCAACAAGATTTACCCAACAATATGACACACACACACACACACACACACACACAGAGATTTCAATTGGGTATCAGATGTTGATGTGCTTTATGCCACAAATGGATGCTTTCACTCTTGGTGGAGCTGTTGTGATCTAGAGGTATTGCAAACAAACCATCTTGATTCAGTCTACCATGGAGGTAGAACTAACTACATTAGATATTGTTACCACTAAAGCCAATTGGTTACATGATCTCTTCACGGGCCTACGGTGCTTTAAAACACACTATGTGTTGTTCTTATCTACTATATCAATCAAATTGTAATTGTCAAGGTGAACAAGTCTAAGGATAAAATAAAGTCATCATTATATGTGAGAAGATGACTAAAGTTTATAAGGAATATGAGAAACTCCAAAGTTATTGCCTTGGACTATATCCAAACAACAAAGTGCATGGAAGATTCGTTAGCAAAGGAACTATAATGGAATGAGATACATGATGCATTAAGGAAGATGGGTTTGAGACCCATACGAGAGCTACACCATAATCGTAACCCAACTAATGTGATCAGAGATGCCCCTTGAATTAGGAACTAGGAAAAACAAGGTTGGGGTTAATTCAAGGAGACTGAACTTCAACCTACTCTTTATGTTGAGGCAATAGTACAAAATCTATGAGGTAGTAGGACATTGCCTTAATGTGTTCCATTGGCTTTAGTTAGAGAAGACACTACCTTATAGATCGTTCTTGAAAGAATACACCTACATGATCCCAACTATTGTAAGGCATAGTCTATGAGACTTGGGCAATATCTACTACTAAACTCGTGAAGAGGACTAAGGATTGCAGCATGTATGCTACACCCATGGGGTAGCCTAAAGGCAACCATGTATATATCAGTTGATTTTAAGTGAAACTTGTCAACACAAACCAAGTAAAACAAGGCATATTCCATTGTCCAAGTTGTGGATTAGTGTAGCTTGATGCTCTAAGTGCATGTTCAATTTTGTGTGTGTGTGTGTGTGTGTGTGTCTATATATATATATATATATATATATATATATATATTCGCAGCCATATAATAATTATCCATAAATCTCAAATACTCATCAAGTGAAGAAGGCAAATTGGGAGGTGAATCATCTATTACCATATTGCTAACTAATGTGGAGGTGAGGAGTTCTCTTCCATACCAGTAATGGAAAATCCAAGCCATACACTTTTATTGAAGGAGCCCCAAGATTTGAGAATCCCTCAAGGTATTATAAATAAGTTAAGTTTTGTTATATAACACCCCGCGTCCAAAAACTACTTATATGGCCTAGCTTCGCACGTGGAACGGGCCTGCATACGTGTAGCACCCCGCTTACACTTTCGTTCTCACTTCGTGTAAAAGGATTAACCCGAAGGTGCTACGTTTGGAACGACAAGGATTATAAGCTGGCCCTCACCCTCCTAAACTTCCAAGGTGGTACTAAACCCACCAACCACAACCACACATGTGCCACTTGGGCCACATGGGCCAACAACAAAACTACTACAGGCTTCTAACGGGCTAGGGTGTTACATTCACCCCCCTTAAGGGCTGACGCCCTTGGCAGCCCACCACAATATGCAGCAGATGTCCAGGACCACCCCTTGGTACACCCCTCCACGGGCACATTCAGCAAGGGTTGATGATCTAATACCATCTGTAACACCCCGCATCCAAAAACTACTTATATGGCCTAGCTCCGCACGTGGAACAGGCCTGCATACGCGTAGCACCCCGCTTACACTTTCGTCCTCGCTTCGTGTAAAAGGGTTAACCCAGAGGTGCTATGTTTAGAACGACAAGGATTATAAGCTGGCCCTCACCCTCCTAAACTTCCAATGTGGTACTAAACCCACTAACCACAATGACACATGTGCCACTTGGGCCACATGAGCCAACAACACAACTACTATAGGCTTCTAACGAGCTGGGGTGTTACATGCTACTTCTACATTGTTGCTCCACCACCATAGTCTATAAGAAAAATTGCACTTGATTAGGGTCATGTTTGATTTTGGTGATTGTATGACAACATATTCAATTGGACTAACGCGGTTTGCTAGTATACAAGGTATTTAATTCAATTGGATGCAAGGATGGACTTGGAGAAGGCAACATGAAGATCAAGTGAACAACACCTAAAAGATGGACTAGGAGCTAACATGAAGACCCTGGAAGACTTACATGCCGTCCAAGACATCAAGTGATCGAAGCTTGGGCAAGAAGATGTGAAGAAACAGAGGAGAAATGGCACTAGAGTGCATCACCAAAATTCTCTAGTGCTAAGCACCGGAGCTTAGGCAAAAACCCTGACCTAGGGTTTAGTCCACTCATCCAACACTCATCCAAATTCCTTGGTGGTGTGGATGTGGCTAGCACCGGATCTTAGGCTCTGGGCCAACACATGGGCAATGTTTCTATAGAAGAGTTTTCCATGCACCAAAAATGTAACATCCCAGAAGAACAACAACAAAAACAACCTTCTGGAGTGTTACAGATGGTATTCAGAGCATCAACCCTTGTTGCGTGTGTCCATGGGGGGTGTACCAAGGGGTGGTTCTGGGCATCTAATGCGTATGTGGTGAGTTGCCGAGGGCGCTAGCACTTAGGGGATGAATGTAATACCCCAGCCCATTAGAAGCCTGTAGTAGTTGTGTTGTTGTCCGATGTGGCACATGAGGCATTAGTTGGTGGGTTTAGTACCACTTTGGAAGTTTAGGTGGGTGAGGGCCAGCTTATAATCCTTGTCGCTCCAAACGTATCACCTTTGGGTTAACCTTTTGTACAAAGCGAGGACCAAAGTGTAAGAGAGGCGCTATGCATATGTAGGCCTATTCCACATGCAGAGCTGGGCCATATAAGTATATTTTGGATGTAGGGTGTTACAGGAAAACTCTGGTGGTTCCTGAGGCGAGTACCAGAGAAAAGGCTAGTCCAAAATGTTTTTGTAGGAGGTTTTTAAGGGCACTGGATTTCTCCGATGATCACCAGAGAAGAAGCACCAGAGAAAAGGCCCAATGGTCAGCAATGGCTAGCTGATGTGGTGACCACTAGAAAACTCCAGTGGGGTCACCGGACCTTCTGGTCATGTCTGCTAAAGTGCAAACCGCCACCAACTACCATATTTCATGGGAGAGGTTGTATATACCCTCTTGGCCAGCCATTTGAGGGTTGTTGGAGCTTAGGAACATCTCTAGTGAGTTGACACTCATTCTTATAGCCACCAAAAGTTCTTAAGGAAATATTAGGTGATTAGCATAGTGCTCTGCGAAGTGCTTAGGATAGTTAGACAATCACATTGGTGCTTGCTCTAGGCTTAGGTCTAGTGTTTAGTGAGGTTTGCATATACCTCTTGCTATCTTGATGCTAGTGTGCACCATTGTTGTTCCCTAGGGTCTTGTAATCTTGCAAGATTATGCCAATTGCGACTATGGTGTGCACCATTGTTGTACCGGAGAGAACAAGGCCCATGATGTTTGAGCCGTTAGAAGCTCAATAGTGAAGATGATGGAAGCGATCCGAGAGAGGCCACCTCGGAGGACCACTTGTGTGGTGGGAAGGCTTGGGGCTATCCATTGAGTTACCTGATCGTGAGCTTGGCCCTTGTGTGGCATCTTTGTGAGGGACTCCAGCAGGGATTAGAGGGAAGCATGAGCTTCTCGATACCTTAGGAAAAATACCATCGTCAATGGGAGTTTGCATTTCTCTACCTCACTTATGTTTCCGCACTTAATTGCTTTTTTAGGTTGTGTGCTTACCTTTTGTAGTTTAGCTTGCTAGGCTAGTTGATAGAGTTGGAACCTAGGTTGCAAAACTCTTTGTAGTAGTGATGCAACACTTAGCAAAACCATAGTGCACATTTAGATAGTATTTTGCACAGGTTTTGATAAGGTTTTAAAGGCCATTAGTTTTAATGCCAAATTCACCCCCTCCCTCTTAGGCATCATGTTCCCAACAAGTGGTATCAAAGCTTAATAGCTTAATTTGGACCTTTGGCTTAACCGTTGAGCTCTAGACATATCTAGAGTGGTAGGACGGACACCAGTATGCCCCACCCTTTGAATCGCCAACTAGCATGCTAGAATGTCTTGCTACCTAGAGGCTATTGATCTAGATGTTTGGAGAGTCACAGATACAGGATTGAACCCCTTAAGAATCCCGATAAGCCTACCTCTAGTGATGAAAAATAAATCCAATTAGTGTTGATGTGTTTAATCAAGTGTTTACGCTCACTAAAGCTAATAAAATTTGGTTAAAATTGGAAGAGCTTCACGATGGTTCTAACAACATTCTTGAACAAAAGTATTGATTGATTAAACAAACCTATCATTCCTTCACTATGCAATCAAACGAGCTTGTAAAATACATTATACATGTATTCTCGTTTGAATATAATTGCCAATGATCTCAACACTACATGTTTGATCAAGGTGAGCGACATGGATGTGTTGCGGAAAATCAGCTCGGTGCTACCAACGGACAAATATGCATCCATTGTTACTATCCTCCACAACATGGGTGATTTGAGCACAATGACCCCCGTCACATGTCATTGGCAAGATTGTGGCATTTGATATGTCATGCAAGATGGGTCAAGAAGATGCCACTTCATCAATCAAGCAAAGCATTGCTCTCAGTACTTGTGATGAGCACAAAAAGATGAAGAAGAAGGACAAGCAAGTGGAATAAAGCTCAAGCTCAAATGAAGATGAAGATGAAGATGAGGATGAGGATGAGGATGATAAAGAAGATGACGATCAAGCTTCCACCTCTTCCTCTGATGATGAAGAAGTCACGCAACTCATAGTTGGAGTGAGGAGAATTCTATGCAAGATCTGGTCCAAGGGCGCTCCCATCACCATTGAAGATGTAATGTTCACCAACCAAAGAAGGAAACAAAGGAAGAAAGGCTGCTTTGGTTGTGATTAGATCAAGCACTTTGTGGATGATTGTCCAAACAAGCCCACACCTAAGGCCAAGAATAAGGCAAGCAAAGCAAGAGGTCAAGCCCTCATAACAATCAAGACTTGGGATGGTTCCTCAAGTGATGATGAAGCCCAACACAAGAGGCATGGACACAAGTCTTCATCAGGATCCTCACACATTTGCCTCATGTCAAAAGTTAAATATGAAAAAATGAAAGTGAGAGCAATGTAAGTAGCCATGATAACTTCCTTTGTTATGATGATCTCGCTGAATTGTTACATAATTTTCAAAAAACTTGCATTAAGCAACAAAAGACAATCAAATAACTAACAGAAAAGTCAATTAGATCAATGTCTAGTTATCAAGAACTAGAAAGCAAATTTTATTCTCTTTTGGATTATAATATTGAGCTAGCTAACAAAATTGAGAAACTTGAAGCTAGTGCAAATACCCCTAAAAAGGTACCTTAAAGATCTCTTTTTGACATAATTAAAAATTATGCCTCTACTTCTTGCATTGATCTTATTGAGTTAGACTCACCCCCATGCAACGAGATGTGTGTTGAGCATGTTGTTGTAGATTCATGTACCAACAAAGTTGTAATGGAGAATGAGCTCTTCAAGCAAGTAGATTGCCTCAGTAAAAACTTGATTGTATTGAAAGGCACAAGGAAGTAAGTCAAACCTCATCAAGATCATTATCAAGGGCATGAAGAAGCTTGATGAGGGGCAACCGTGACATGCTACTTGTGCCACAAGGAAGGACACAAGTCTTTTGAGTGCAAGGTGAAAGGGGGAGACAAGAAGAAGACAAGCAAGCTCTCCAACACCTACACCAACAAGGTGGACAAGAAGGCTACCACACCTTTTCTATTGAAGAAGAAGAATGACAACGTTGTGGCCCTCAAGGTGAACAAGCAAGCCAACAAGGGTTGGGCCAAACTGATTTAAGTACCTAAGGATATCAAATCAACCATGAAGAGTACCAAAAAGATTTGGATCCCAAAGGAGAACTGAGAAGTCCACTCAGACCTCAGTTGATAGTATTGGAACCTAGGTTGCATAACTCTTTTGCACAAGACATAGCAACACTTAGCAAAACCGTAGTGCACATTTAGACATATAGTATCTTGCATAGGTTTTGATAAGTAGGATTTAGAGGCCATTAGTTTTAAGTTGCCAAATTTACCCCCTCCCCCCATAGGTGTCATGGTCCCTACATAGTGTATCCCATCCCACTTTGTTGGCATGCACCAGTGAATGGGAGAGCAGATCTCTACACCCTTTACTCTTGTGATCCTACACTGGATAAGGACAAACAAGGTTTTTGAGAAGCACTTCGTTCAATTGCCCATGATCTATATCCTGGCTCATCTTCACCAAGCTTCAGGTGCCATCATTGTTGTGTTTGGGTCGATTGCCTGCATCAACTATGTTGCACACCAGTGAATGGGAGAGCAGATCTCTACACCCTTTACTCTTGTGATCCTACACTAGATAAGGACAAACAAGGCTTTTGAGAAGCACCTCGGTCAACTGCCCATGATCTTTATCATGGCTCATTTTCACCAAGCCTCAGGTGCCATCATTGTCATGTTCAGATCGATTGCCTACATCAACTATGTTGCACACCATCTTCTTTGATGGATAGGACTATGCAACAACCATTGAAGGAGTGCTTTATTGTGAGTCTCTACTTAAGCTATTAGTAGCTAGATCAACAAATTCAGGTTGGCAATGCATGTTTTATTCATTCATGTGGTGCCTAATGATCAGTAGGTCTATTGATGTGTTAATCTACAAGAACGGTGTTTAAATCTAATCCACATTCTTTTATTTACATGGTGATTATATGGTCTGGTTGTGCCATGAACCTGCTGTTCAGATCCATATTGTTACACAAGGTTTATGGTTTTCTTGGCAAACTAGTTCTTTTGTATAAATCCAGTTTATATACAACAATTTTCTTTTGGTGTCTTGAAATTAAATAATCACAAATGTATGTTCGCCTATCTCCAAAAGGTAATGTTATGCACGATAGGTGGTTGGAGGGATGACATTTTTTCAATCCATCTGTCTAAAATCATACATTCTCATTATAGGTAAGATAAAAATGAAAAGGGGAGGCAATCAAATGTTTGAAGAGAAAGTGAGCTTACATTGAACCCATAAGATGCAAGGTGTAAATTCTGGTTTGTTCTTCACTAAAGAGCCTAGAGAGACCAAAATCCGCGATTTTTGGCGTCATATTGGCATCAAGCAATATATTGCTAGGTTTTAGATCCATATGAATAATTGAGGTATCAAGGCCCTCATGGAGGAAACGTAAACCTTGGCAAATGCCTGTGATTATTTTGTAACGTTTCTGCCAATCTAGTCTACCAGACTCATCTGCAAAAGTAAAATGGAGAAAGGCAGAGTAAAACATCTGAAATATTTCATATCCTCGTGACAAATGATATTTGTAATGATTACTTAGCTTGTGTTTGCATGATGTCGTTATGTTGGCTATATATCAAAATGTAGCATATACAACATAAAAAAGGTGGATCCACACACACACACACATGTCGGAATTGTTTTCAGTATTTCATCAAATTGGTGATTCAACCAAATATTTGCTTAACAAAACAAAACAACTGCAGATGAAATTTCACCAAAACCACAGCATTGCAGGTTCTGGTTATCAACCAAAAAGCCTCTAAATGTGTTTATTTATAAATAGTGATGGCAATTTAAAGGGTGATTGCTCTAGGGACAACAGCTAAGTTAAACGGATAGCTACTTTGATTTTTACCAGCAAAGTCACATTATTGGACATCAAAGCAAAAACACTGTAAAAGCCAAGTCGAGTGATCTGTTTTGTTCTGTTTTTCGAAGTCGACGAGGCTAAATTCTAATTCAGTATTTCTAACATACAGTAGAGTTGTATATAACTATCAAACTCGAATTGTCCTGTTGGTGCACCGACAGGAAAATCCTTGTCTCCAGTAGTGTATAACAGCTGTATCTGAACTCTTTTTCCTTAAAATGTTAAGGTCAGGTAGGGTAAAAAAAGTAGTGGTAAATGGAAGTTTAGAACCGATGAAAGAAATTAAAAAGGCCAAAAGTGAACTTTGTTACTTGAATGTAGCTGCACTCTTACCACAGATTATATTGTCAAGGCTTCCGTTCGACAGGTACTCGTAGCACAGCAGCTTCTCTTGCACTTCAGCCAAGACATACTTGTGCCGATCCTCATCGTACACAGGTCTTTCTTTTGTTTCATCACAGTAACCTATTAGTTTTACTATATTATCGTGATTGACCCTTGCAAGATGATTGACCTCATTCTTAAACTGCTTATCTTGTACGCCTAGAATTCGTCTGAGCTTCTTCACAGCTATCTCAACCCCAGATGGAACTTCAATTCCCTGCTTAACAGCTCTGCTTGTTAATATTGCTCTTTATTTAAAAAAAAAACTCACTTGTTGATATAGCTAATTTTTTATGTTATTCAAAGTGTTACAAGAAGTATAGTCAAATATGATAGTATATACCTTATAAACCACTCCAAACCCCCCTCTACCAATTTCTCTATCAGAAGAGAAATTGTCTGTGATGTCTTTCAGATATTGCAATGGCAGTTCCAACTTCCTCCTAGTGCTATATTCAATACCGATTCTGTGGCCCATTGGTTATTGTGAAATTCTTGTACACCAGACCAGGTGTGTATTGGTTCACTACACACAAATACACAATACAATAGCAGCATTTGAATATATATATATATAACTTCTTTTACATCTTTGAGAAGGTATTAATTAGCTGCCAGAATTATTGTAACATATACAAGGAACGAACTTTGTACCCAACCTCCTTAGAAATTTGAAATTAATTGTGGTGCCCTCTTGGTACCTTCCCAGCAAAGGATCGTAAAATCCAACAGGTGAAAAGGCCAAAGTCCAACGCAAGTAGGGTAGAGATTATTGCACGGACGTGTCAAAACGACAAAGGAAATTAACTTTTTTTTAACTGTCACCGGGGGAGAGAATCTTCACCTGTGGAGTATTGATTTATCATCAACACCTTGTTTTTAGTAAAATTATCATAGTAAACTATACCGTGGCCTCGTTGGGATGCTTTGCAATTGTTTACACCAAAGTGCTTTTGCAATTGTAAATTAATTCTACTTGGCAAGGAGTCGAACACCATGCCTGTGCATGTGTGACTGTGTGAGTACGCGCGTGTCACCCCCGTCTCATACACGGCTGGCAGCGCGATGTCCACCACCGCGTCAGCCTGATCAGCACTTTGGTGGCTTCGTGCCATGGCGATGGCGTACACCATGCAGAAGAGCCGTGAGGAACTTGCACGGTTCGCGACACAGGGCACAGAAGACGGCCAACGAGCTCGCCGGTCGCCGCGTGAACCAGGTCCACGAGGTGCCGGGGCAAGGCAGATGCAGCTATGGCGAAGATGCGAAGGTGGGCAAGCAGGGCGCGGGTGACGCCGTGGGGAAGAAGGGTGACCCTGTGGATAGACGCTCGCTGGCGGCGGCGGCGGGTTGACGTACGCCGCCACCATCAATAGCTACGGCTCGCCGTCGCCCCCCGTGTCCTATAGCAGGCTGCAGGTAGCAGCAGCAGCAGCAGGTGCACGGGTAAGTCGCGGTGGAGGCCGCGCGCCTTTCCTCTTCGCCGTCGCTGAGGAGTGAGGACATACCTCACGGAACTCTCGGGGACGGTGAGGGAAAGAGAAGGAATCTCCACACCAACAGCGAGCGAGGCGACAAGAGAGCCCGACATCCGTCGCGCAGTTTTCATTGGTCTTCGGAGGAGATTTTATTTTTCCGGTTGGATAGGACAAAAACTGAGTGTAATTGTCATCACAAGTCATCCAAACAACTTTTCTGGATGTAGCAGGTATAAGTTTCCAGACCGGTGATTTACATCCGTTTTGGTTCTAAAACTAGTCTTCCAAACAAGCTACAAGGCGTAATCATATCAAAGAGCTAACTAAGGGGCCGGGATAAATTGTGCTAAACATATACTGAGTAGAGATGAACACAACAGATGGAGTGGATAATGGATCTGATTATAGTAAAATTCTAGGAATTACCCGATGCTAGCTCGATGATGCTGAAGGCCGCGTTGGGTACTGCGAAACCATCAGGACGGGATGGTGCAGAGCCCACTACCGAGAGCAGTGTATATGATGCTCCTAGAGAAGACGAAGACCCATCAAGTCAACTGAGAACAAAAGGTCTCCAAATATTTTCTTATTTATTTATTTATGAAAACGAAAGAAGGGCCACACGCTGCCGATCTAATCCCAAGGGAAACTTAACCACGAAGTAACAACCACCACTCCTGCTTCACACGATGATGAGTGACAAATCACGCGGAGACTCGAGGGTTTACAATTTCCAACGAAATTTCACCGACATCTTCGAAATATGTCCTCTTCACTGAGTCTAACAATTTTTTTATCGGTTGCACTGATCTTCTATCTTAAAATTGCACCAAACAGACATAAAATGGCTCTCCTCATCTGATCATCTTATACCCCTAACAAAGCCCTAAATTTTATTAAATCTACATCTCTTATAAAGCTCATCTCCACTACAAGTTCAATGTCAACATATCAGTAATCCACACCATCTTCCAGTAACTATCCACCTTATCTCCTACTAATAGTCATATTATCCCACTAACTTTCAATCTCTTAATGTAAGTTATCCAAGCATCCATATATTGCTATTTGTTTTGTTATTGCGTCATCTTATAATTTGATCTAATTCTATTAGTTTTTTTATTGGATTCTTTCACTGCCTTGCTCAATTCTAATAAGAATGAATGTAAGAACATATAGTTTAACTCATATATGCAACAGTTTTATTTCTAAGAAAAGTCCCGCAGCAACGTGCACGGTATCCTCCTAGTTCATTCAACTTCACCTCCCTACTCCCACACCCAATGCCCACAAACAATGGTGGCTCACTCACTGTTAGTTTGTCACATCGCCACTGCTCTACCTTAGTGATATGTTGAGTTTATTCCTTGGTTTTATATGCGATTACGATGTATGATGAATCTGAAATAATGCCATTTAGAAAATCAATTTCAATTTGTTTGAATTCAGTCTGATATTTCTAAAATTTAGTGTTTATCGAGTGGTTTGACATCAGTATTGTGAACCCTCGTGGTTGTGTTCCATGATTGTGATGGTGAACTCATGAACGACCTCTTGGGCCCAGGTCACAGCCCGTGGGATATCTCTCACTTGACATGAGAATATATGAGTAAAGAACAAGTTACATATAGGGCATACAGAATGAGATAACATCTAAGAGCCAGCACCTAACTATTATTGTTGGAGGTCCTCAGCAGAGGTTGCCCCACTCGATGGCATCAGTTGGCAACATTGGCACCTTGTGTTCATGTAATGGATGCGCACCCACTGGCTCAGTATCCAATGAAGTTGAAAGGAAAATGGCACCTAGCTAGGGCCATGTATAGTTTTGGTGATTGAGTGACAACATGATCAATAGGACTAATATAGTTTACTAGTATACGAGGTGTTTAGTTCTATGGACGAAAGGATAGACTTCGACAAAGGAAATGTGAAGATCAAGTGATCAACACCTCAAGCAATGACAAGAAGCTATGTTGAAGATCATAGAATCCATGCATGAAGTCCAAGACATCAAATAGAAGAAGCCTGAATGAGAAGACATAAAGAAACAAAACTCAAAGAGCGCTGCATAGGGTCACTGGATTCTCCTGTGGTACCCAGGAGAGAGCATTGGAGAATAAGCTATGCTATATATGGATTGATCCGGCTGTCGTTGTACTCACCGGATTTCTCTAGTGATGTACTCTTGGTTAGCACCGGAGCTTAGGCTACTAGGCGACAACAAGAAGAAGCCATTGAAACCTTCCGATAACAGGGCACTGGATAATCAACATGCCACTCAGAGGCTATGCAATACCATCAAGAGCACACCGGAAAAATACTCCGTTGATGCACTCTTGGTTAGCACCGAAGCTTAGGCTACCAGGCAACAACAGGGCACAAGAAGAAGGCACTGGAACCTTCTAGTGATAGGGCACCAAAGAATAGCACTGGAGAAAAGGCCCTCCAATGGTCTGTAATGAATATTTTGAACGGCTAGTCCATGTGGTGTCACTGGAAAGTTCCAGTCATCACTTCAGAATTGTAGTTCGATCACAACAACTATATTGAGGGGTGAAGGCTATATATGCGCCATAGTTGATCCATTCAAGGGTTTTAGAGTGTGCTGAAGTATAGAAGAGTTGAGGCTTTATTCCAAGTGCTCTAGACACCAAAAATGCTTAAAGAAATATTAGGTGATTAGTAGTAATTCTTTGCAAAATGCTTAGGATAGTTAGACCACCTTTTAGCGCTTGCTCTAGGCTTAGGATTAGTGTTCAGTGAGGTTTGCATACCTATTGTTACCTAGTGCTTGCATGCATCATTGTTGTACACTATATAAGGAAAATGGCACCTATGCTAGGGACATATGTGATTTTGGTGGTTGATTGACAGCATGATCAAATGGACTGGTGTGGTTTGCTAGTATACAAGGTTTAGTTCATTTGGCTTCAAGGATGGACTTGGACTTAGGTAACGTGAAGATCAAGTGATCAACAACTTAAGGAAGACCATGGAGCAATGTTGAATATGCTAGAAGACATGCATGAAGTCCAAGACATCAAGTGGAAGAAGCCCGGAAGAAAAGTCACAAAGAAATGAAGCTCACTACTGGTTGTTTGCAAGGACCAGAAAGGTCTGGTGGTTCCTGGACAGAGGCACCGGAGAATAGGTATAGTTCAACAGACAGGTGTCAAGTACTCATCAGAAATCTCCTGTGAGCACTGGAGATCCAAACACCGGAGCTTAGAGTCCACTGTTCACGGGCTGAAAAAAGGAACTATAACCACCTAGAGTGCATGCACTGGACATTTAGTCCAGAGAGGGTTGTAGTGTGGTTTGAAAACAGCTACAAGGCACCAGATAGGGCTGGTGGTAGTACCAAAAAAGGTTACCGGAGCTTAAAGCCAGAAACAGTCGACAACGACTAGTTTTCCAATGGCTAGTCTCTTAGCGGTCATTGGAAATCTTCGGTGGGGTCACAGACCTTTCCAGTGCTCACTGTGAGTGTGCAGTTCTGTGCAATGGCTATATTTGTGAGTTGCGGCTATAAATACCCCCTTGGCATGTTGTTTTGGTAGTGTTGAAGTTGTAGGAGGGTTGAGGATCTGATCCAAGTGCTCTAGCCACCAAAAGTGCTTAAGGAAATATTAGGTGATTAGCGTAGTTCTTTATAAAGTGCTTAGACTAGCTAGACCACCGCACTGGTGCTTTGCTCTGGGCTTAGGCTTAGTGTTTAGTGAGATTTGCATACCTCTTGTCACCCGGTGCTTGCACACACCACACTTGTACACTAGGGGCTTTGTAGTCTTGCAGGACCCTCCAACGTGTGGAGAGGCCACCGAGTGTGTACTCAAAGGAACATGTGACCTGTGGCATTTGGGACAGAAACACGATAGTGAAGACGGTGGGAGCGGTCCTAGAGAAGGGCATCATGGAGACCCACTTGCACGTGGAGAAGGACCATGGGCAATCCACAGAGTTACCTGACCGGAAGCTTGGCCCTTGTGAGGGCATCCTTGCCAAGGGCTCCATGAGGACTAGGGGAAGCATGAGCTTCACGATACCTCTAGAAAAATACTATCTTCACAGGAGTTCGCAACTCTATCTCAATTAAGCTTCTGCACTTTACTTTTTTCTAGGTTGTTTGCTTACCTTTCTAGTTTAGCTTGCTAGGCTAGTTGGTAGGATTGGAACCTAGGTTGAATAACTTTTTTGTGATAGAAATAGAAACATACTTAGCAAAACCTAGTTGCACATTTAGATAGATTTGTTGCATAGGTATTGATAAGTAGAATTAGAGGCCGAGTTTTAGTTTTAAGAAGCCTAATTCAATCTGCCTCTTAGGCATCATGGCCCATTCACCTTCCTCCCATGCCCATTCTCCAATGCCATTAGAAGGTTCCAGTGGCCCTAGGAGCTCTCAGTTTCTTCTCTGGAGAGAACCGAAACACTCTTCCTTTCTCCGGTGCCTAGCATCTGACAAATCTAGTGCCTCACCGAGGCCTCCAACTTCTCTGTATATTCTTCTGGAGCTACACCCTTTACTCAGGTGCCTTCCCTCTTCAACCACCGGAGTTATCCGTTCTTCAGCTAAACTCTCTACAAACTATTGCCTGACTAAACCTTTTGAAGCCTAAGCTATGGTGCCTATAGAGAGGCAACACCAGAGAATTTTGGTGGCTCTGGATAGAGCATGTTTGGCTCTGTTTCTTCGCGTCTTCTTTTTCTTGTTTCTTCTACTTGATGTCTTGGACTTCTAGCATGTCTTTTATGATCTTCAATGTTGCTCCTTGATCTTCCTTGAGGTGTTGATCACTTGATCTTCATGTTGCCTTTGTCCAAGCCATCCTTACATCCAAATAGACTAAATACCTTGTATACTAGCAAACAACATTAGTCAATTTGATCATGTTGTCAATTAAACACCAAAATCACATATGGCCCATGCTAGGTGCCATTTTCCTTACAAAGTCCATGACAAGCTAGACAGGTCTTTATACTATGACCTATGATCTGGTTGAGTGTGGGGTGTTTAAAGAGCCATCCAAGCCAAGAATTGAAGATTCGGGGTTATCCTTGAGCGTTATTGGTGTTCTTGCTTGGATTTCTTGAAGGTGTTGCCTGAAGACATGTCAATCGTGATTGCCATCACCTAAACAAACCAGTGCAGGACTTCTGAGCTTTCTCAGTATTCTTGTTAAGAAGGCTCCAAAAGTTGTGCATGGTGGAGCTTAATTGAGTGGTGACTCTTGGTGCTCCAACATGGATGAAGAGGTTGTGGCAACAACCCGACACCATAGGAAAATTCTCATTCTCTTTGCCTGTCTTTCTTTCTTGCACTACTTTCATGTCTTAGCTTATGGCTTTGTTGTTGTGTGTGTTAACTTGAGTGACAACTAGGATAGCATGGTAGATTACTTAGGGTCTTTTTTTTGGGGGGGGGGGGGGGGTCCTAAGGGCATTATTCTTATTGTGGACTCTTGCTAAGGACTTGTTTAGTACGATGGTCCTAAATACTTATTAGTGTGCTTTTCATTAAACTCGGTTGCCATTTACATAGGCTACGGTTATCACTTTAATTTTTTAGTAGTCCAATTCAACCTCTCTCCCTTGTGTCATTCGGTACTTACACCTTCTCTTTGAGTTGAACATGCAGTGTATGATCTATTCCCACTTGAAGATTCACAACTCTTCTTTTCAGAAAATGTCGTTCACGTATCTGCTTGAGAGTGTCGGTGTTTGAAAATTGAGGCACTAGTTTCTACTTTTCAGTCCGTGTGTTCCTGTCAACCATATGAATTGAACTGATACTGTCTGATCCAGCATACCATTGGGGCACTGGACACGCTACTCTTTCAGATACCGATGCTACCATGCAGGTTATGCAGGGTGGTAAGCTTCTTGCTCTACAGTAAGTCAACTACAGAATGCGTTTCGAATTTATGTGTACCCTCAAGTTCTGAGCTAAACCCAGACAATTCACCCTGCGCAAGATGCTTCCACGATGTATTAGAGGACAAGTCACCTCCAGCTTGGTCTACTTTGCACGATTCCATAGACCAAACCTGGTAGGCAACGACTTGGTCTACTTTGCACGATTCCATAGACTAAACCTGGTAGGCAATGACGTTCCGTCGACAGCGAGGATGTATTAGAGGACAGGTCACCTCCAGCTTGGTCTACTTCACCTCCAGCTTGGTCTACTTTGCACGATTCCATAGACCAAACCTGGTAGGCAACGACGTTTCAGGGACAGCGAGGCATCTATGATAACTTCGTCAATCTCGTCTCAAGAATTTGCCAGCCCAGTCTTTAAAAGTGCTAAGTGTAGTGTTTACATACATGTGTTTATAGTTGTGAGTGTACATGCGTTGTGAGCGTGGTTCTGTGTAATCTCACCAAAAAAAAAACTCTTCAACATACAAACCTTGTGATACCCAACTTGTTACGCAGTCACCAACAATGGATCATACCGGAATATTTGACTGAATAGTGCGCACGTCAATCTTTCCTAGAAACGATTGTGTGTGCGCGCACGTGCACGCTCCACAAAACACCAATATCAAATCTTTCTTGTGCATTATATTTCATGCATACACCATTAACCAAAAATACAATCTGGGGGGCGATGCCACGATCAATATTGATATCCTAACATCATCTAAATTCTAATTCCGGGAGAGAATAATAGTGTGCCGATCTTTATGTGATCCAGGGAATGTTAGATCACAGAAGGTTGGACATATCCATCGAACCCCAAATACTTGAGACCAGGGAATGTTAGAAAGGCTTCAGACTCCAGATAAAACCCAACATTTCAGACTTCATGCTGTACATGAAGGCTCTTACCAAAGCTTGAAGAATGGAGCAAGTAAAGAAGCATCACGCTGTCAGATACATCAGTACAACATCACTGCTGGTGTTACACGTTCCTGAAGGCAAATAGAACCAAAATTAGAAGATATGCAAAGATTCTGGGACTATTCATGCAGTCAAGCAAACGTTTGTCACAGACAAGTGTGCACATGAGACCTACCTCAAAAGCGGTTCAATGTTTTGAACTCGATACAAGATCTTTCAATTCATCTATGATTGCCTGGTGGCAACACTTGTATTGTTCCTGCAAAGCAGAAGTCATTTGGGAAACTAAATGGAAGCACTTCTAGCAAATCTGTTAATGTGTTACTCTTCAGAATTGCTCGATCAAAGGATAATATAATTTGACTGAAATACCCCTAGTGATCAGAATATCACAACTCCCATAGACCCCTCCGCAGAGCAACTGATAGCTGCATACTGCAATTACCAAGCAAAAGAATATCTACCTACCACTTAGACCTGGAAAACCCACCTTTATATATAACAAATAACTCTGTACCACTTCTAAAATTATAGCTAAAGTTCAGATTTAGTCATTTAGAGTATAGTTATGAGCAACCATGCATTCACTAATTGTTCAGCAGAAAAAAGGTAACAATAACCATCATGCAGAGCAGACACTTTCTGAAGTCTTTTGGTAAGCAAGTACTGATGACACTGTATGGAAGCTACTCTGTGCAAGTGAGGATTATGTAACTAGGCCCCAGAGAAAAAAATAAAGAAAGATCAACCATACCTCTGTTTGGACCATTCCAGGTCGCTGTGATCTAAATTTTTTGACAGTTTCGACAAGATCAACAGCCCCCTGTTCTCCAAGTAAAATCCTCTCTATATTGTATTATGGATGGTGATATAAGCACCTGTTCTTCCAATGCCTGCGCTGCAAGAGAAAGCAATTTTACTGAGATAGTGAATAAGTTATAGCCATATAGGAAAGGTCCCACCAGAAAGCAAGGCGTTTAAAAAAACCTCCAAAAAGCATAATATTGATTTCATGATTTGAAACAAACCTGCAATGTGCAACTATTGGCCGTTCCCTTGGAATGTAATACAATCTTTTTAGAATCCTTCTTACATCAGCACTGCCATTTGGTACCCCATGGTCAGGCCACTCAGGATACTCAATGTGGAGAAGAGATCGCACTTCATCTGACTAAAACATAAAGAAACACAGAAGGGAGAAAATTCAATGATATAATCCTTCAGCAAAAAATTGCAAGAATTCCATACTATAATGCAAAGGAGAACGAGAAGATGATAAACCTATAGGGAAAGATAAACAAAAAAAGAGACAATGTGAGGAAACAAAAGAACTCATGGAAGAAAATGAGGTGAAAAACTGAAAATTACTGGCCAAAGAATCTGCAGGATCTCAATAAGAAGATTTGGCATCTCACTCAGCAATACTATCTCAGCAAGAATTGGCAACTGATCTCACTAACTAATTACACTGTTACCAGGACACGTTGCAATGCCACTATCTGGCTGATTTGCCTATGATAGGTAAAGGCCCAAAAATATTAAACCAAAACCTTCACTACCACATAAGTATGCATGAGCACCCTAGGTTGACCAGACAGTAATCCAGAACTAATATAAACTACACATCTAATTGAACCAGATTATAACCATAGTCTTTCCTCCGGAAGGGAAATGCTTATGCACAGCTACAAGCTCCTCCAAAAGCTGAACTCAAGTCTGTCTTTCTATGTTTTTGGCACAAGAAATAATTCTTCATCTTGAAATGTATACACTATGATGTAAAATACAGAATAGTAGACTCCATGGTGGACCTGCCTATCTTACACTTTACCTAGAACAGAAAGCATGTAAACAACTTTATATATATTCACCTCATCCCGTCGAATCTCCACGCCACGCAACACTAACTGACCATCTTTCCTGACCTTTGTAGTCTTAATGGTAAACTTTCCAAAAATATCCTGCCCCTTACTCAATGGTAGATACTCATCACACTGCAATTATTTGAATGTGGATACTATTTAAAATTATATTATCAATTAAGAGGAAATAGCTAATAAATTTCAAGTACAAAAACAAGATTATGTTGTATCTTAGCACCTTAAGACCATCAAATTTGGTGACCATAACAATCACAGGACAGTGATTATCATATACCATCTGCCAAAAATCCTCAATCGTATTGGCTAGCGGTCCTTGAGTAGAAATGAATTTTGTTAGATTTCTGCCAGCAATCTGCAAAGTTTATATGGCACAAGTCAGACAATGATTGGAGTTACTGGACCAAAAAGGAAATATGCATAAAAAAAACATAGTACAAGGAAACATGCCAATTTTACCTCTATATGGCTGGCATTGATGTAATCATTGCCTGTTGAAGACTCTAACCGTACTCTGGTTCGATCAACTACGGAAAAGAAATCAAGTTAAACAAAATTAATGATTCGATATGGGATCTTCCTATCTACACCTGCAACCCTGTACAAATTCATGGGCTTACATGGCAACACATCAGTGTAGCGGTTTCTTCCCCTATTTTCTTGTTTCCGAGCAACACTAAATTTTTGTGCTGACTGAAGCTCTGTTCTTATATCCTGAAAACAAGGTTGTTTGTCTTAGTTCAAAAAATATTTCCTATGACAACTAACTTGTAAATCTTTACAACAACAACAACAACAAAATCTTGCTTTGACAATTTGGAAGAAATGAACAAAAGCTAATTGTGGGGATGTTGTGTGTGCTGTATTTGTTGAACTTCTATTTTAGTGCAATAATACACAGCTCTCCTACTTATTCGATAAAACAAAATGAAAGGAATGGAAGAGACAAGTGTGTGATTTCTTGGTACATTGGACTTGACACAAAAAAAATGCATAACAAAGGATTGGTTCTATCTCTTTCACTGAAATAAATTCAACAGCATGGGTTTCTGCACTTGTTACAGCAATGTGCTAACAGCAGATAATTCAGCTGTTTATACAGAATTCAGTATTGGATGGCATCAGTTCTACCTCAAAAACATCTCCTTCTAACTCTGATAGATAAAAACGATTAGAACATCAATTCACAGGAAGTGAACAAGAAGCATGGGGACTATGCAATCATATGTCTTGAAAGAGAAGCTACAGGCAATGGGAACGACTGGTTCGCAGAAGAGGAGGGACTGGGAGTATAATTAGACCAGGTTTTGCAATTGTTTGCCCAAGTGCTAGTTTGACTGAAGCAGTATTGTGAAGCTACAAGCCTCTACTCATCCAATACGCTTTGCTGGTCCAAATCTTAGGTTCGAAGTGAAGATAATGTTACACGTTATGTTATGATATAGTTCAGGAAAGTCAAAAGGCCTAAGACTTATCATTGTAATCAACTAATCGTTGTGTCCAACACTTATCATTGTGTCTGTAAAGTGTACACCAGGGCCTACCTAGATGCTTCACATAGAAGTAATCTGCACTGGCCTACAAAGTTAAGATCCCACGGTAGGCTCATGCTAGCTAATGAACAAAATTCGCCCTCTGCATTTTCTTTGGCAACCCAATTTTGTTGGGGTCCTCGGCTCATGTTAACACACTTAATTAAGGTTTATGTATTTATGTTCCCTTTATTCTAGTAAATCTGAAGGAAATGATGTAGATAGCGGAAGAGGGGGGGGCGGGGTGGGGGATACCGGGAGGCCGTAGAACTCCTTGGCAAGCTTAGCGGGCTTCCCGAGCTTGTTCTCGAGCGCCTTGAGCGCCTTCTTGCAGCGCCTCTACTCGTCGGGCGTGAGCAGCCTGGGGGGCGGGTCAGTGTCCGGGTCGAGCGGGTCAAACTCAAACCCCGCCGCCTCCGGCTGAGAAAGACGAGGAGGCGGAGTCGTCGACGAGCGGCAGCGTGGGGCGGAGCCCCCGCCGCCCTTCGGATGAGAGTTTCCCGAGGCGGCGGCGCTTGGAGGCGTGGATGGTCGGCGGTGAGGGGGAGCTGGCGGGGGAGGCGGACGGTTGGTTTAAATAAAGCGGAGGGCAGCAGCTGGCCCCGGCCGCGGAGGTGGTTGGGTTGGAATTCTGTGGTGACTGGGGGTGCGGAGCTATTCGGTGAGAGACCATTACGGGTAATAGGCTTCGATGGAATACCATCCTACAACGGAGAAACGTCGGGATCTTTATTATTAAGTGCGACACAACCGCTGGTATGCCATCCGAGAGAATTTGGTGCCTTTTATTCCCCTTCTACCCCTCCCTTCTCTCTTTTCCTTTCACGGTCGCGATTGGGACGGACGGAACGGGAGCCAGCTCGCCACCGTACCTCGCACCAGTCACCACCATCCACCGCCGCTCATCGAGCAACGCCAGCTTCTCCCTTTTCCCATCACACACCGCCCGCTCCCAGTCTGGCTCCTCATGTCGTCGTGCACCGCACTTTGCCGGTGCATGCACGCTTACACATGGTGGAGCATTTGCTCCAGCGCACCAGTGTCGGACTCTGCATCGGCAAGCCGTGGCTACCGAGGTGGGCTGCCGCCGTAGTCCACGATCGCCGACACGGAGGCCGGAGGGGGCCGTGACGACGCGGTCGTGGCGGTGTGGGGACGGTAGCGAGGGGTCCGGCGTGGCGGCGGGGTATGCATGGCCGACGCGTTGCTCTTCTCTCTGTGGCAGCGATGATAACTGGCGTCCCCCCGCCGCCGCGCTCGAGCCACGCTCTCCAACCTGCTGCCGCTGGCCGTGCTACTAAAGCGGTCCGACGCATCGACCGGACGCGAGGTCGCGCCGCCGCCTGCGTGTGCATCAAATAAATTTTCGGACCGAATCGAGTGTTTTGGTGATCGGCGATGGGGTCGGTCGTTTTGTGTCGGCTGCGTCTTTGAGGCGGTGGAGCGCGTTCGGGCGGCGCGCTACGCTTCGTCGTGCCGATCGGAGAGGTGGTACGCCGCCACCGACCATGACAAGCTATCTTTGGCTCACGGTGGAGGGCGTGGTGCGCTTCCTCCCGAGCTCCGTCGGCGTCTTCTCCGCCACGGCCTCATGTCCGTCACCGAAGCTTCGGCACCGTCCGCCCCGCCACGCTTCGCCGTCGCCGCCCGGCGATAACGCGCTATCCGTCGTGCCGCCCTCCGCGCATTGGCTGGCCCCACGCCTCGATAGTAGCGATCGTCGCCCGGCAAACGCAGCTCCCCGCCCCGCCGCCTCCAAGTGATCGAGCGGGCGGCCGTGGGGTACCTCGGCGATGGAGAAGAGCCCGAGAGCTCAATCCGTTCATGGTTCCCGTTCCGTCCGTCCCAATCGCGACCGTGAAAGGAAAAGAGAGAAGGGAGGGGTAGAAGGGGAATAAAAGGCTGCAAATTCTCTCGGATGGCATCCTAGCGGTTATGTCGCACTTAATAATGACATCCTGGCGAAGCCCCGTTGCGGGATGATATTCCGTCGAAGCCCACTTCCCACGAAGGTCTCTCACCGAATAGCTCGGGGGTGCGGGGGTGGGAGGGGAGGAGACTTGACTTGGGAGGCAAGAGGACGGCGGGTGGGTGACGCTGACGGTGACGGCGACGAGAGCCCCGGGTGGCGTTCGCTCGCTCGCTGTAGATCCGACGCGGAGCAGGTGGCTGTGTGCGCGGTGCCGCGGCGGTGGGGGAGGGACCTATGGACGGCGATGGCAGCGGGCTCGTCCTTGTTGAAATGGCAGCTTCTGCTGTCGGGAGGGGAATGTGGGGGAATGGAACTGCGGACACGGCGGCGAGGCGAGGGCGGAGACGCGGAACGGAAAAGGGGAACCGCTCGCTCGCTGGATTCGAAACCGCTCGCAGTGGTGGGGCCCGGGCCTCTGGTGACTGGTGCCATTGTTGCCATGAATGCCATGGCATGGCCCATCATGGCCCATGGACCGACCGACAGATCATGAACTGCTCCGCGTGATGGTGAGAGCACGGCACGGATCATAAACTCATTAATTAATTGATGGAGCTGTCGTCGAGTGTCGTGTTGGCTAATGTTAGAATTTATATGGATAAAATTTCTGAAATTCTAATAAATCTCAAAGGTCCAATATATATGTTTTTTAATGAGCTTTATTGTTTAAATTCATGATTAGAGGTAGGGAGTTCTCATCCCTATATATATACATGTACCGATCCTCCTGGGAAAAGATATAACAACAATAGAATTATCATTGGAAGTTCCTAGTTTGAAAAATCCTAAGATAGTCAATTAGTGTTTTTCACTTCTCACTACTGAATTGTTTTCTAAGTTTTCCGTCCCGATCTCTCTACGCGCACGGAGAGTTGGGAGAGTGGCCTCCGGAACCGGAGTCTGTGTCTGTGACATCTGCTCGGCTGTGCGGGCGATCAGGTTTTTGGAGAGCGTCTTCGCGACTACTCGCTTCTTCCTGATGACTGCCGACGTCTTCTTCTTCCTCGGATCGTCTACTTTCCTGTGGACGTTTGAGGGACTGCACTGCGTACACCGACTGTGGTCCGTGACTTCGAGCAACTCACCATGAGTGGAACTGAAGCCACCGGTGTTTTGAGCATGGGTCCCTCCGCAGGGTACATCTCTATTCTCAAATTGGTTAAATTTAATCTCATTTTCGCTATGATCAGTATGTTGTTTATGAACATATTTGCTACTAATCTGAGGTATAGTAAAATCACACACGTGCACATATTTATCATCACAAATTTGTTATTATTTTTTGGATTAATTTTAACATGAAAATGCCTAAATTACTAATAATTCAAAAACCTGATATTAGGCAAATTTCTGTTAGTAGTTTTGCTGCTGTTTTGAAGCCAAATGATTTTGATGAAACAAATTACAAGACATCTTAGGAGGAGGAAAAGTTCAAGATAGCCGATAACATGTTTTGAGACGCCGTGATTAGTGTACTTCATAGCAAGTATGAGGATAGCTACCTTCATTACACGTCAGGCAAGGAATTATGGGATACACTTGATGCTAAGTTTGGTGTTTCTGACGCTGGTAGCGAGGTGTACCTCATGGAGCAGCTATTTGACTACAAGATGGTTGACAACCGTTCTGTGGTCGAACAAGCTCATGAGATACATGCACTAGCTAAGAAACTCGAACAGTTCCCATGTGTTGCCCGATAAGTTTGTGGCCGGCGGTATAATCGCTAAGCTGCCATCTTCTTGGAGGGATTTTGCTACCTCTTTAAAACACAAGAGATAAGAGTTTAGCGTGGCTCAGCTTATTGGGTCTCTTGATGTTGAGGAGAGGGCGATAGCAAAAGACACGCGTGAAAAGGCGTTGAGTCTTCTAGTGCCAATATGGTACAGAAGAAAAATTCAAATGCATCTCGTAATAAGAAGAAGAAGAACAACAAGCAAGAGAACTACTCATAAGCCTAAACAAACAACCACTTTTAAAAAGAAAAAGAACAAAAATGGTGGTTGCTTTGTTTGCGGGAGTAATGAGCATTGGGCAAGTTCATGCCCAGACCACAAATTTAAGCAAGAGAAGAAATCTGCAAACATAGTTATTAGCAAGGCTGAAAGAGGAACATCTGGGTATGGTAATTTTTTACCTACTGTTCTTTCAGTTTGTCATTCGCCTGAGTGGTGGATGGACACTGGGGCTAATATTCATATGTGTGCTAATGCCTCTTTGTTTTCTTCTTATCAAGTCGGCGAGACTGGAGCCTTACTGATGGGGAATGGGTCCCATGTGCGTGTTCTTAATATTGGTACGGTCATTCTGAAGTTCACTTCGGGAAAGACGGTGCTGCTGAAGAACGTGCAGCATGTTCCCTCCATCAAAAAGAATCTAGTTAGCGGCTCTCAACGTTCTCGAGATGGTTATAAAATTGTCTTCGAGTCCAATAAATGTGTACTGTCAAAGTATGAAACTTTTGTTGGTAAAGGTTATGATTACGGAGGCTTGTTCCGCTTATCCTTGCATGATGATGTATGTAATAAGATTGTGAACAATGCTATTATCCCTAATGAGTCAAATATTTGGCATTCACGTCTTTATCATGATAATTTTAGTTGTCTATAGCGGCTTACAAATCTGAATTTAATCCCAAAAGTTAATTTGGTCAAAGGTTCTAAATGCCATGTGTGTGTGCAATCTAAGCAACCTCGTAAACCTCACAAGGCTACAGAGGCGAGGAACCTGGTGCCATTAGAACTAGTCCATTCCGATTTATGCAAGATGAATGGTGAATTGACTAAAGGTGGCAAAAGATATTTCATGACTTTTATAGACGATTGTACTAGATTTTGCTATGTGTACCTGTTAAAAACAAAAGATGAAGCGTTGCATTACTTTAAGAACTATAAAGCTAAAGTAGAAAATCAACTTGAGAGAAAAGTTAAACGGTTAAGGTCTTATCTTGGTGGAGAATACTTTTCAAGTAAATTTTTTTATTTCTGTGTAGAACATGGAATTATTCATGAGAGGACAATGCCATATTCACCACAGTCTAATGAGATTGCCGAAAGAAAGAACCGCACTCTAACTGAGTTGGTTAACGCCATATTGGAGACAACGGGTCTATCTAAGGAATGGTGGGGTGTTGCTATTTTGACAGCATGTCATGTCCTGAATAGAGTTTCTAAAAAAATAAAGAAATCACACCATTTGAGGAATGAAAAAAATAAAAGATTAAATCTCTCATATTTGCGCACTTAGGGTTGTTTGGCCAAAGTGAATGTGTTAATTAACAAAAAGCGCAAACTTGTACCTAATACTGTTGATTGTGTTTTCTTTGGTTATGCTATTCACAGCGTTGGATATAGATTCTTAATTATAAATTTTGGGGTACCTGATATCTCATTTGTTGTGAGCAAACTAAGACGGTTTGTGTCAAATTTGGGACATAATCATTGGCGTGCTCTTGAGAGAGTACTGCGTTATCTCAAAGATACTATGAGCTATGGCATTCACTATACCGGGTACCCGAAGGTACTAGAGGGTTTCTGTGATGCTAACTAGATATCTGATGCTGATGAGCTTTATGCCACAAGCGGATATGTGTTCTTGTTTGGAGGTGGCGCTATTTTCCTAGAAGTCTTGCAAGCAGACCGTTTTAACGAAGTCAACTATGGAAGCAGAATTCACAACATTAGACACCGCTGGCACTGAGGCCAAGTGGCTTTGTAAACTCCTTATGGATTTAC